TCCTTTAAGTCTCAGCCACAATCCCACCTTCTCAAAACAGCCTTTCCCCGTGCTCCTTAATGGTCGTGCCTTCTCTCCGTCGATAATCTCCAATTTATCTTGTATACATCTGGTTTGTACATACTTGTTTGTATATTGTCTCCCTAATTAAACTGTAAGCTCCTTGAAGACAGGGACTTTTTTTTTTGTTTGCCTTTGCATCCTCAGTGCTTAGCACAATGCCCAGCATAGAGTCTCTGGTCAATAATGCATTTTGACTTGACTAAGTACAGAGAGGATCATTGGAACCAGTAGACTGGCAACTTGGTGATGAATACTTTGACTGTGGTAACCCGCAAAACAAAGAAAAATACAAAATGGTTCTCCATCCCATTAGGCCCCCTTTCACAGAGGGAGTCCCCACATCCTTGATATCATGGATCCATTCAAGTGCTTTGTGTTTAATAGCATACGTTTTGTATCTACTGTACCTATCTGCTTCCCTTCAGTAGACTGTAATCTCCTTGAGGGCAGGGCTTATCTCATTTTTGTCTTTGATTCCCCAGTACCTAGCACAGCACATGCCCATTGTTGTCGTTCAGTCGTTTTTCAGAAGGGTCTGACATTTTGTGACACCATTCAGGGCTGTCTTGGCAGAGGTACTGTAATGGTTTGCCATTTCCTTCTCCAGCTCATTTCACAGATGAGGAAACTGAGGCAAACAGATTTAAGTGACTTGCCTAGGGTCACACAACTAATAAGTGTCTGAGGCCAGATTTGAACTCAGGAAGATGAGTCTTCCTGATCCCAAGCCTAGATCTATCCACTGCATCAACTTAGCTGCCCCTGCCTAGCACATAGCAGGTGTTTAATAAATGCTTGTTGAATTGAATAGAATTGAATCAAAGTATAGTAAAAATAAAAACTGTAAGCTCACTACATGGTTCCCCCCCCAAAAAAATGCCTAGAGATTGCCTATTTTGTCCCCCCCCCCGAACTATAAATCTCTACCTTCCTCTGGAGCACAGCTCACTAGGATTGGTGAAGCCATTAGGAACAAGAGTGGTGGAAAGAGCAAGAGAATCAAAGCCTGTTTCTGGATTAGGTAATGGCTTACTAGCATCCTATTAGTGGAGAGGTCTCCCCACTGCTTGTAACTACTAGTAATGAAGGATCCCCCAGTTTGAGATCCTCAGGGCTGTTTCCATGGTGAAATTTTTGTTAATTCAGTCAAAACATTCCTCCACTTTATCTCTGGCCCATGTTCAGCTTCCTTAGGGCATGGGGATTACAACCCAAGACCTCAGATTTGGGCTTGGGGGCCTCCCAATTGGCATAAAGCTGGAGAGTGGATTGTCGTTCATTTGGCAAAACTTCTAACTTACCCTATGTTTTCATGACTTGTTGTTTAATAACATATGTAAATATCCTCCTTTACACTCACTCTTTCACTTTCCACAGAGTGCAGGTTTCCCAGCCCACTCACTACCCTCCCTCCTCCCACCTAACTCAGCCATTACTGGCCACTTATCATCCTCCAACTTCAGGGGACCCTTTTAATACCCCATTAGATGTCTTTGGATGGTTTATGGATTCTCTGTGCTGCTGACTCCATGGATTGCATTACTTTAAAAGCTAGACAATAAAATACAATCATAGAGGGGTAAGTCAGAGGGAGGTAGTGTACCAGGTGATTTATTATCTGATGAATGAATCCCCACCAAATGGTTGGAAAGGCATTAGTCAATATTTAAGAAGCTATGTGAGCAAAGGGGTTAAATTCATCCAGGAAGAAGTTGTTAGCCTCAGAAGAAAAGAATTATCTTAATGAGACTTTAATGCCATTTGCTAAAATAGACCTTTACCCATTGTCACCCAATAGAATATTCTAGTTGTTTGGTTGGATAGCATAGGGTAATGCCCTTACCTAATTGGATTTGAAAGCAGACACTGATTACTAGTAGGGTCTCTGAGAACAGAGCCCTTGCCCAATCCTCGGAAATGACAGCAGAGATGAGGAGTCAGCTGGCTTTCAAAAAACTACCTAGCTGTGCTACTAGATATAGATGGAGTCTAGTCAGAAATGAGTGAGGTCCTTTCCATTTCAAGGGGCTAACCAGACAACCCAGGGGTGAATAGTTATTCTTGAATTGTGCCATTTGAAAAGGCCTCTGGTAGCTGTTGGGACTGTGATTGTCACAGAGCACTCTTGGCTGGTGGGACCACACACCACTCATTACCCCAGTCAGAGAGGCAGGGCGGTCAAGCTGTGGGAATCGGGAAGGTAGTGATTGCAGCAATAATTCTGACAAGGGTACCTGTATCTCTCCCACTTGAAGGCCGCCTATAGTTAGATAAAAGCATGGTAAATGCAGGCAGAGGTGTTCTGGAGCCAGCTGATATAGGCTCAGGAGAGCTGATTGTTAAATTTTCAGGGTGAGTTTTTATGCCTTAGAAATTGACGAATGTTCCGGATCAGGGCTTGATTTGTTGTTTTATTGATGGTCTAGACTTAAGAAAGTGAAGGAGAAATGTTAGTAATGCAGATTAAATTTTAAAATGTGTCAAGCATAAATTTTTCCCTTGGAGACCCGGTTGTTAAACATTTACCAGCACATCACTGAATACAAACTTCTGGGCTAATGTTCTTCAACTGACCCTTGTATCAAGCTGGTGAAACTAAGTGCTTTGATGAAAGGGCAAACAAGCAAAGAGACCTCACTGTGGCAGAGCAATGTAGTTCTGGAAAGCCTGCTTACTTGGGTGGTTTTCTCTATGAATATGTGTGTGTCCCAGTATTGTGTGCATTGGGTTAAGCTGCCCAGAATGTGTTGGACAGAAGGGTGGATCATGGACTGCGTCACAGAGACAGCAATAGTAAACTGAGTATTGGACAGCGCCTCCTGAGGCTACTCCTGTTCTCTCAGGCACATGTGTGCCTGAGGTCTTGGGACCCTGGCCCTCTCTGGTCCCAGGATCCTGGCAAAAAGGATACAGAGGACTTGTTTCCTTTAACCTTGTTGCTATAATCCTTATCTTTAAGCACTAATCATAGCAGCATAGATTTAGGGTTTTTTCCTAGTGTCTTTCTCTTTCCTCAGAGACCTCTTCCTTAAGAGAATCAGGAGCAAGGGCTGCTAGTTGGCATAGTGAATAGAGTTCTGGCCTTGGAGTCAGGAGGACCTGAGTTCAAATCCAGCCTCAGACACTTAACATTTACTAGCTGTGTGACCCTGGGCATGTCACTTAACCCTAATCGCCTCACCAAAAAAAAAAAAGAGAGAGAGAGAGAGAGAATCAGGAGCCATGTGTCTCCTTTCCAGAAACTGGAAGGCAGAAGAACAAGGATCTCTCTTCTCTAAACTCGCTGATTCCATTCTTTGCACAAGCTCAAGTAATCTCTACCAATGAGGAGAGTCTTATGCAAATGTATTTGAGCCCTTGGTTATATATATTGGCTTCTGTTTTTATGCATTGTCTTCTCCTATTAGAAAGTAAGCCTCTTGAGAGCAGAGACTGTCTTGTTTGTATTTGTATCCCTGGTGCTTAGCACAGTGCCTGGCACAAGGAAAGAGCTTAATAAATGCTCTCTCTCTCTCCCCCCTTTCTCTGTCCCTCAACTCCCTCTCCTTGTCTTTTCTCTCCCTCTCCCTCCTCTCTCCTTTTCTTTCTAGGCCACATCGCCTTTTCCTTCTTTCCTCTCCCCCTCTCCCCTCTCCCTCATCTCTCTTTCCCTCCTCTCCCTCTCCCTTTCTCTCACCTTCCTTTCCTTCCTCTCCCTCCCCCACCCTCCTCCTCCCTCTCTCTTTCTCTCTCTCTGTCTCTCTGTCTGTCTGTCTGTCTGTCTCTCTGTCTCTGTCTTTCCCCTTTTCTCTCCTCTCCTCTCCATCCTCACCCACTTACAAGGACTTGCCGATCACTTCTCAGGATCTCTGCAGAGGGTCTTGTTTCTTATTCAAGGTGGGATTAGCCTAGGTCACTTCTGAGGTCCTTCCCGAGATTCTGATGTTTGTCCAGGGACTTGCCATGCCTCTTTTTCTCATCTCTTTTAAACTATGACAGGCAGAAGTTAATAGCACTTTCTTGTCATCAGCCTAACTCTGGGTAACCCCATGGGGTTTTCTCAGCAAATAATCAAACAGATGAGGGTTCATGTTCAAGGTTCTGATGATGACTTTGACAGCGAAGCCTATATACCAAGACATAGATGTGCTGAGGTGTGCAGGGATCTGTCATGATTCCCACTGCCCAATACTGAGGAATTGTCTTATTAGGGAATGACATGGTCCAGTGGAGAGAGTCAGAGAACCTTGATTCAAAGCCCAGCCCTCCTCTCTGCTACCAGGGTCATCTCAGGCAAGTCCCTTAACATCTGCAGGCCTCAGATTCCCCCTCTGTAAAGATGGAGGAATGGTTGGACAGACCAGATGGTATCTGAGGGCCCTTGAAGTTCTCAATCTCAGATCCTCTGGTCTTTCCTCTTCACTGTTCCCTGAAACCACCCTAAGACGAGTATTGGCAGACTTACCCACTGCGTGGAAGTCTGCTCCAGAGAGCTGGCATGGCCAATCCCCTTGGACTTACATGAGGAGGGATTTCTTTCATCAAAGGACAGGAGGTGGCTCTCCGGGAGGCCACCATCTGCGGGCAGCCCAGGGTAGTGTTGGCAGCAAAGGCAAGCTTCCATCTTCGACTGGGCTGTCTACTGCTGCCATTTCTTGGGTACTGGGGAGCTGGTCAGAATAGCTGATAGCAGAGTAGGACTAGGCCTGAGGTTGGACTGCCCAGCTGTCTGGTCAGTGGGACCCAAAACCTGAAATGGCTGACTGAGGTAAGCATTTTCATAACAATTTTCTTGGTATCCCTTCCCCCAGGAGTTGATGCTTTGTTTTTTAAAGGGCTTTAGATGTAAGTTATGGAGGAAGGTTGGATAATAAGAACTGTGACTATGGACAGAGCTTCTCTGTTACCTGGGGTGTGATATCACAGGTCTGTGGCAACACTGGAGACTCTTGCGTGGACAGCTTTTTAAAAATTTTTATTTCTTTCCTAGCAGGAGGGAAAAAAAATCCAGCATGCTTCGCAGTCTCCTTTATAAGAGAGTAGCACTAGTCTCAGCTCTCTGCAGCCAGAGGGGCTGAATTACTGTAGCATCCACAGGGTAGGGACTGTACCTTGGGAGTGAAAGATCACAGAATTAGTCTCTGCTGGGACCTTCTGGTCCATCTAACCCAACCCATTCATTTCACAGATGAGGAGACTAAGGCCCATAGAGTCAAAGACTTTCCAGAGGTCAAAGAGAACGTACACATCAGAGCTGGGATCTGAATCCAGGCTCCTGACTCTCACCACAGTATGTATGTTTTCTGCCCCACCACTTTCCCTTGATTATTCATATTATGCTTGTAACCGAGGGGCCACTTATGAGTCTTCCTGAGACACTTAATAGCTTGTATGACCCTGTGCAATTCACTTAACCTTGTTTGCCTCAGTTTCCTCATCTGTAAAAAAAAAGAAGGAAATGGCAAACCACTCCATTATCTTTGCCAAGGAAACCCCAAATGAGATCAAAAAAAAGTCAGACAAGACTGAGAAAGAGCAGCGACAGCAACCATTACTGAGAGTCAGCTTAGTGTGGAAAAGCTGGCCCCTACTCCAGGAATACCTGGTTTCATGTCCTGCCCTGGACACATACTGGTTATATGACCCTGGGTAAGTTATTTTACCTCTTAGTGCCCCTAACAACTCTCTAAAATCACAGTTGCAGGTGAGGTGTCCTCTACACTGGCAGAGAAAGTTTCTTCATTCTATATTCCGCATCCAATGATGTCACAGGTTCTCCCCTAAACACATTTAATCACTCATCTGTATAGTTCCCCAGTGCCTGAGAATGCCCTGATCCTAGCAGACACTCGGTAAATGTTCATTCAAATATTCAATAACAACAACAAAAATAATAATAATAGCTAACAATTATATAGTGCTTACCATGTGCTGGGCACTGTGCTAAGTGTTTTATAATTATGATCTCATTTTGACCCTCAAAACAACCCTGGGAGGTAGGGGCTATTATTCCCATTTCGTAGATGAGGAAACTGAGGCAGACCGATGCTAAGTGACTTGTCAAGGGTCACACAGTGAACTCAGGTCTCCCTGACGCCAGGCCCAGCGCTCTGCCCTAGGAAATGTTTATTAAGCCCTTGCTATGTGCCTGGCACTGTGATTGGTACTAGAGTTACAAAGACAAAAATGAAACAATCTCAGCCTTCAGGGCCTTTATAGTCTATTATGGAATGAGAGAGTGATTGGATGCACATTTTGTCCCCCTCTGACCCACTTTCAAATGATGGCCAATGTTGGTCTGGAAAGAATAGAGAATGATGCTGGTAGCCTCCATGTTGCCCTTACAAGTTCAGACCCGCTGCCAGTCTTTGTAGGAAGTGTTCTGAAATGGATCTCCTTTGCCTGCTTGCAGCAAGGACTCTCTCACAGCACTCAGGGTTGGCCTGAATACCCAGGCCTGGGGTTTCTCTCTTAACCCAGTGACAGCCTGGCCCCAGCAGGGAGAAACAGCAGGACAGAGGGTTCTGTGATCGCAGCATCCCACTCTCACCAGAGAAGCTTTTGTTCTCCCCCCAACCGCATCCTCTGATTTCCCCAGTCTGATTACCTCGTACTTGGCAAGTCTCCTGCAGGGATCTGTCTGCCTGGGAGCTGCTGCCCCATAAGGAGCCGAAACTGTTGCTATTTCTAATCTGAGCCCACGACTGCTCAAGCCAAAAGGAAGGAAGCTGAATCATGACAGCAGGGCCAGAGATTGGCCCTCTGAGCTTTGGACATTCCTTGCTCCCCCCTCTTTCCTTGGCTTTGTCCTCCTGTTTATAGGTAGCGCCGCCTGAAATGTCACGCTGTCCTGCACTCAGAAGCCGGGCCTTGTTGCTCTGATAGGATCTATATAAATAAGAAATGAGAAGGCAGGATATGTGTTCTGTGTGTGTCTACACCTACTCTCCAACCCACCGGTGACACATTAGAGTGTGCCCAGTAGCCAGTACTATAATTAGAGAAGCCGGCTTCAATTACAGACCTATTTTCACTTGCCCATGATATCCTTAAAATAAGAAATCACATTTTAGACAGAAATTTTTCCTGTTGACTCCCAGGCCAGAGACTTATTTGTGTGTGTGTGTGTGTGTGTGTATGTGTGTGTGTGTATTTTAGGGAAAGAGGATTTAAGTTGAATTTGCTTGATTGGCTGTGAATTATAAGAAAAGGAAAAATAAACTTTTTCTCTCTTACCCACAGGGATATTGTACACAAATAACTAAAAAAAACAAAACCCCAACCACCCAGCTATAAAACTTTCATCTTAACGTGGGCCTAGTCCTCTGAGGCTATATAAGCTGAAAGAATTTTTTAATAACTTAATTAGAAGCAATTTAATATCACTGTTATATATTTTCCCACACTACAAAAAGACACAAGAGGCTTCCTGGTTTAGTGGATGGAACAGTAGACCTGAAGTCAGAAAGAGCTCAGTTCATAATCCAGCCTTTGTCCCTTGCTAGCTCTGTAACAAACCTCTTTTCAGGCTTCACTAAATCTCCAAGTTATAGATGGACTGCAATCTGCAGAGGTGAAAGGAGTTCCCCCAGCAGTGGGACCTTTGACATATTAACATATAAAAAGATAATAGGCCTTTTAGAACATAAGCATGAGGCCTAACAGATTGGTGCTTTTGCCCTCAGTGCCCAATGTGTGTAAAGTTAAATTGAATTGGTTTCAGCAAGGTACAGTGGAAATCATAGGAACCCAAGCTAACGTCCTTTCAATGCCACTTATTACCTGTGTGACCTTGGGTAAGTCACTTTAACTCTCTGAGTCTCCATTTCTTTTTTTGTCAAATGAAAGGATAGCTCAGTGGACTCAAAGTAGAAGGCTAGGCATCTGTCCAGTGATTTTCAAAGTGGAGGGACAGTGGCCTTACCCTCAATGGGTGTGTGATCAACCACTCAGAGGGTAGGAAGAAGGGGTGGTTCCCATCCTCTGCCTGCAGTAGACAGCTGTGGGGCTTGTCTCCAACACAACTACACCCAGTCATCCTCCTATCCACTTCTGGTCCCTCTTTCCTTTGTGGAAGCTCCCACACTCCCCTCTTCTGAAGCATTGGCACCTTAGGACTGTTACAGCCTAATCTCCCACTTCCCACTACATACTAACCCCTTGTTTCCAGATGACTGCATAGCTTTAGCAAGCACTCCTCCAAGACAAGCTCTGTGCCCCAAGGCAGTGACCCATGAGGAAGAGCCCCACCTGGGAAGTGAGGAGCCCAGGAACAGAAAGCATGTATAGACTATAATCTCCATTCTTTTATCTTCTCCTAACCCCCTCCTCATCTAGTTTGCTCTCTTCACGCTGAGGCTGCCTCCATCCTACTAGTCAAACTGTTCCACAGCCTGGAGTTAGCTTCCACCCCTCCCTCTCCTTCACCTCCCATATCCAGCCAGTTGTCAAATCTTGTCTTTTTTCCTGCTGCAGCATCTCTCACCTGTCCCCTTCTGAGGCAGGTTTTTAATACTTCTCTCCTGGACTACTACAGTAGCCCCTTAATGGCTCTCCCAGTTCTCAGGATCTCTCTTTTTCAATCTAGGCTCTACACAGTGACCAAAAAGACTGTCCTTAAGTGCAGGTCTGATTACTTTACTCCCTTAACTTGGTAAAGGTCCAGTAACTCATCCAATGAGTATCTACTGATTCTAAGATAAAATATTTCATCTTTATATCATTTTTAAAAAATTTCTATTTTGTGGAAGTCTTATGAAGTATAGCAGTACATATATAATATGTAAATATGCATATATAGGATACTTAAATTTTTCTACTGATGAGGTATGTAATTTTAAAAATTGCAGAGCACCGGAATAGATGGCCTCTAAGATCCCTTCTAGCTCTGGTTCAAAGACTCAGAACTAGAAGAGACTTCACATGGCGTCTAATGCCCTCACTTTAGAGATGAGAAAACGGAAGCTGGAGGTCATATGAGTCGTAAGCATCGGAGGTCAATTTGAACCTGGGTCCTCTGCCTCAAAATCCATACTTCTCCCACTCTGTCCCATTGCCTTCTTAGGGCTATGACACCCCCCCCCCCGGTCTATTACCTCCCTGAAGCTAAGCCACTTCTGTCCCAGGAAGCAGGAGACTTAGCTTTCAAATCTTGCCTCAGACACCTTCTGGCCTTGGAACTGTGGGTAAATCACTTTGCTTCTCCAGCCTCTGTTTCTTCTGTCAAACAGAGCTAACAGCGCTCGCGTTACTTGACTCGCAGGCCTGTTGGGAGGAAAACCCCCCATGCATGTGATGGCATGATAGGGAGGGGACCAGAGGAAGCTGAAAAGACTCGGGTATATCCGGAGGCGAGAGTATTTTCCAGGGGTTAGTTCCTCTGCAGCCCGAGTGGAAAAGCACAGTGGGAAGCTGAGGTGAGGGTCAACACGTGGGGGAAGTAATGGCAAGAAATACTTGCTGAGTGAATTAGGGGTGGGTGGATCTCTGGATTTCTGGTGTGGTCAGTGCCTCGCCCGCCAGGTGGGATGACATGGCCGGCCAGACCATCGTCTGGGGTGCAGAGTAGAGCCACCAGCTGCTGGACTGGATGTCTTTTCCATTTCTCATCAAGGCCCAAGTTCCCAGAATAATTATATAATCAGCCATAAAGTTCAACTTAACAACTGCCAATTGAGACAGAAGCCCAAGGACCATCTCAGAAGGAGTTATAAAATAGAGCTGTGTATCACATGATAGGAACTCACCGGAAAAAGACCATGGGTATATCGGTTTGAGCAGGAAGATACCTCAAGGGTCATTTAGTCCAGCCCCCATCACTTGATGGATGAGGAAAGTGAGGCTCAGAGAAGAGACTTCCAAGGGAGCCCCCACAGAAAGTGGCAAGACAAGATTCGAACCCAAGTCCTCTAACCTCAGATCCAGTCCTCTTGAAGAATGGGATTTTTGAAAAGCAATAGCATAGTCATGGCTATTCCCAACGGACTTTCAAAAAAGAGGCTCTTTTAGCCTCTGAAGCCTGCGTAAGATTTGTGTGTGCCCAGCCTAATTTCACAATTTGTGCCACATTATGATTGGTCACCACAGGGAAAGAATCATTTTGTGGTTCTGTGGGTTGAGAGGTCGTATTGACCATAGCTTAGCTAACCCTGTTTTCTGTGGAGTTTCCAGAGGCAGCACACTCAGCCAGCAGGCTTTATGTAGCCCACTCCACCCCCCAAGGGCCACCTGAACTTAGGTTAAAATATAATTGGGAAATATTTAACACAATAAACAAAAACACATTAAATATAGATTATGTTACATTTTAAAAATAAATCAACACATGGCCCACAGGCAATCCTTATGCAGTGGCCCCCTTTCAAGCTTGACACCAAGGGCCTAGGGGATAAGGAGACAGCCCCTAAGCCAGGCTTTGATTCCTTCCTCTGACACATATTGACTGTGTGGCCCTGGATCAGTCACTTAATGTCTCAACACTCTAAGCAGCTGGTATTGAGGGAGCGTCTTTACCTGGGAGTTCCCTTTCCCATCTTTTGGCTTAATGCTTCCAAGGTCTCTTGAGAGTGAAACATTTAAGGTTAACTTCCATCATGAAACATTCTCACGATGCTGGCAGACTCTGAAAAAGGTGGGTGCATGGCAGAGTGCTCAGCACAAGCTTATGGCTAAAGTTGCACTGATGTACTGGAAGCATCCACCATTAAGACGAGCCATACTGGGCCAAAGCCCTTGAGAGATTAAGTGAGGACATGGCTCTGACCTTGGAGCTCCTCTCCACAGGCCCTATTTTAAAATATTACTTGGGTCTCATTGCAGGCTAATTGTGCAACTTCTCAGCCAGTCATCTGAACAAGATCAGGGCTGTCCCAGCTCCAAGGCGACTGGTGGTCACATCAACCAGGACACCATTGCAGCTCTGGCCACCAGCCTCACTCCAGTCACTAGCAGCAGGTGTGTGTTTCAAATGTCAGATGCTTTGTTCCCATACAGAATAGCTCTGTAGTTGGGGGTGAGTGCAAACGCTGAATGCTGTATTTGACAGCGAGTTAAAGAGAAGCTGATAGGAGAAGAATTAATTGCTATTTAACTATAATAATAAAAATCCAAACAAAGGGAAAGGTATAAATAACATGGGCCGGGGAAACAGTGGGTTTGTAGGAAGAATGATGTCTGTTCAGCACAGAAAATTTATAGCGAGAATAAATGCTGGGAACTGAAGCGTTAGCAAGGTAGTAAAAGTCCACCAAGGTCCTAACAAAAGCAGGGCTGCTTTTCACTGAATTCTCTCATTAGCCAGTGGAAATAAAAATTCCTTCAGCTTTGTTGTTGTTTGAAAAGATGGGAAGGGGACTGAACTAGAGTGGGAGTTGGACAAGAGGGAAGGGGACCTTGGTAGCCCTCAGAACCTAAATGGTTATAATAAATAATAATCCATAATATAATAATCTAATAATCTATAAAGAATAAATCTATGGAGTTGCTGGCTGGGACAAACCCAACCCAACTCTTGCAGATGAATCCACCAGCTGCAGCTTCCTAGATCACTCTGTCTGTGAGCACCACCAGGTCTCCTTTTAGACCAGCACCCTCAGACTGAAGGAGCTGCTTTGCTCTATAACTGGCGCTTTTAGCATTTTAAAAAAATTCTATTTTTCTCACAAAACAACTTTCCCATGGGAAAATCCTCCTTAATATCCATAGCTCTAGGATAACATCAATACTACACATTGATGGGACTTTAATATACTGAACACTGTTTTCCTGGCCTGATGTCTCCCGAGGCCAAAAAGGGATTGTTGCAGAGTTTTGGTTAACTGCAGGAATCAGATGCGTTGAACACTTCTGTGTTTTGAGG